ATTAAATAATTTTCAAACCCAGTAACAAGTAGAATAGTACACATGAACCCTTAGCTGCTTATGCAGCTTCAACACTTAACGGTGTTTTGACATTCTTGAGGTAACAGCCTTTTATATACTTAAATATGATTAAAGTTTTACTAAAAAGCAAAATAAAGGAAAAAATTTAACAGGTGTAAAAATAAAGCTACTCATTTGGGTGCAAAAACAATTGTGTAATTATTTAATTAGAGTGAGGGGCAAGAGAGAAGTGACTAGTGGAAATAGATAATATGTATGCATGAGAAAACACTGACTACAACGTTTTCTTAAAATATTTTTTATTCATTTGTGCACGCATACATAGCTCTTTCCCCCCCGCCCCCAACTGTGAATCTATGAGCTTTGTCACCAGTTTTCTGAAATTTTACATTTACGTGTCTTGGTCTGTTTTCATCCATTGTACCAAACACTCAGTTACACCTTCTCGATTTGGAAGCACTTATGCTTCACTTGTGGAACACTTTCTCTTTTACTTTTTTCTCTGCTTTCTGTTCTATTCTAGATAAATATTGGATATCTTCGAATGGTCTTCTAAATTTTTTTTATTGTTTTTCTCTTTTTCGTCTTTTCCATTATCTGGGAGAAATTTTTATTCTTAAAATGTTTCCACTTAGTTTTGATTTCTGCTGTTAATTTCCAAGAAAAGTTTTCTTTATTATTTAGTTGTGGCATCTTATTGTTCATGCCTACAGTAATGCAATATCTTTTTCCCCCCTCTTTCAAAGGATATTAATGATAGGCTGTTTTGTTTCTGTTAGATTTTCTTTTCCTGCATAGTCTGTTTTCTTTTTTTTTTATTTTTATTTTTTATTATTATTATACTTTAAGTTCTAGGGTACATCTGCATAACGTGCAGGTTTGTTACATATGTATACTTGTGCCATGTTGCTGTGCTGCACCCATCAACTCGTCACCACCCATCAACTCATCATTTACATCAGGTATAACTCCCAATGCAATCCCTCCCTCCACCCCCCTCCCCATGATAGGCCCCGGTGTGTGATGTTCCCCTTCCCGAGTCCAAGTGATCTCATTGTTCAGTTCCCACCTACGAGTGAGAACATGCGGTGTTTGGTTTTCTGTTCTTGTGATAGTTTGCTAAGAATGATGGTTTCCAGCTGCATCCCTGTCCCTACAAAGGACACAAACTCATCCTTTTTTATGGCTGCATAGTATTCCATGGTGTATATGTGCCACATTTTCTTAATCCAGTCTGTCACTGATGGACATTTGGGTTGATTCCAAGTCTTTGCTATTGTGAATAGTGCCACAATAAACATACGTGTGCATGTGTCTTTATAGCAGCATGATTTATAATCCTTTGGGTATATCCCCAGTAATGGGATGGCTGGGTCATATGGTACATCTAGTTCTAGATCCTTGAGGAATCGCCATACTGTTTTCCATAATGGTTGAACTAGTTTACAATCTCACCAACAGTGTAAAAATATTCCTATTTCTCCACATCCTCTCCAGCACCTGTTGTTTCCTGACTTTTGAATGATCGCCATTCTAACTGGTGTGAGATGGTATCTCATTGTGGTTTTGATTTGCATTTCTCTGATGGCCAGTGATGATGAGCGTTTTTTCATGTATCTGTTGGCTGTATGAATGTCTTCTTTTGAGAACTGTCTGTTCATATCCTTTGCCCACTTTTTGATGGGGTTGTTTGTTTTTTTCTTGTAAATTTGTTTGAGGTCTTTGTAGGTTCTGGATATTAGCCCTTTGTCAGATGAGTAGATTGCAAAAATGTTCTCCCATTCTGTAGGTTGCCTGTTCACTCTGATGGTAGTTTCTTTTGCTGTGCAGAAATTCTTTAGTTTAATGAGATCCCATTTGTCAATTTTGGCTTTTGCTGCTGTTGCTTTTGTGTTTTAGACATGAAGTCTTTGCCCATGCCTATGTCCTGAATGGTACTACCTAGGTTTTCCTCTAAGGTTTTTATGGTATTAGGTCTAACATTTAAGTCTCTAATCCATCTTGAATTAATTTTTGTATAAGGAGTAAGGAAAGGATCCAGTTTCAGCTTTCTACTTATGGCTAGCCAATTTTCCCAGCACCATTTATTAAATAGGGACTCCTTTCCCCATTTCTTGTTTCTCTCAGGTTTGTCAAAGATCAGATGGCTGTAGATGTGTGGTATTATTTCTGAGGACTCGATTCTGTTCCATTGGTCTATATCTCTGTTTTGGTACCAGTACCATGCTGTTTTGGTTACTGTAGCCTTGTAGTATAGTTTGAAGTCAGGTAGCGTAATGCCTCCAGCTTTGTTCTTTTGACTTAGGATTGTCTTGGCAATGCGGGGTCTTTTTTGGTTCCATATGAACTTGAAAGCAGTTTTTTCCAATTCTGTGAAGAAACTCATTGGTAGCTTGATGGGGATGGCATTGAATCTATAAATAACCTTGGGCAGTATGGCCATTTTCACGATATTGATTTTTCCTATCCATGAGCATGGTATGTTCTTCCATTTGTTTGTGTCCTCTTTGATTTCACTGAGCAGTGGTTTGTAGTTCTCCTTGAAGAGGTCCTTTACGTCCCTTGTAAGTTGGATTCCTAGGTATTTTATTCTCTTTGAAGCAATTGTGAATGGAAGTTCATTCATGATTTGACTCTCTGTTTGTTACTGGTGTATAAGAATGCTTGTGATTTTTGCACATTAATTTTGTATCCTGAGACTTTGCTGAAGTTGCTTATCAGCTTAAGGAGATTTTGGGCTGAGACGATGGGGTTTTCTAAATATACAATCATGTCATCTACAAACAGGGACAATTTGACTTCTTTTCCTAACTGAATCCCCTTGATTTCTTTCTCTTGCCTGATTGCCCTAGCCAGAACTTCCAACACTATGTTGAATAGGAGTGGTGAGAGAGGGCATCCCTGTGTTGTGCCAGTTTTCAAAGGGAATTTTTCCAGTTTTTGCCCATTCAGTATGATATTGGCTGTGGGTTTGTCATAAATAGCTCTTATTATTTTGAGGTACGTTATTTTAAAATCTTATTTTCTGATCAAACGTTCTTTAATTTTAATTCTGCAATACGCAACTTGCTGAAATTATTGGAGGGAACCTTCTACTTTCCCTGAGTCTCACTGTCAACATAGCTTTATATTCCTTTCTACAACTTCATTTGGGGAGCCACTGAGTTGATTTCATCCTATGGGGGAGAAAACAAATTCCTTTACAGTGTTATTTTTCTAGAAAAAGCTTAAAATTTTGTCATGTTTCTAACATTCTCATGGTGATAGAAAATTAAAACTTCTAAAAGAGTAGGCCTATTGAAGAAAGGAACTCTGCCAAACATACTGCTATCTGGCTTGGTACATCACTGCATTGCTCTACCTAAGTTCCTGCTGTTAGAATTTGCCCCAGTTTCCTACTGACAGGCTCATTGCTGAAGCCTCAGTTTTTCTTAAACATTGCATTGCAGTCTCCAATTGTGTTATATCTACCCAAGTTTTGACTAAAGAAAGGATACTGTTTTGTGACATAGAAAGCAAATGGGACTTGTTTCTGGCTACCGAGAAGCTTATTTCAGCAGGAGGTAAATGTACTGAACAATTACAGCTGCATATTTGTTTTCTTGAAGCAAGCAGTGGAACAAGGAAAATTTAACAGTTAGGTTTTGACTTTTTATCTTTCATTTTGCTTTATTTGGTGATTGTGCTATAAAATGCCACTGTAAAGATCAAATTGATTTACATAGAAACTACCCGACAGAAAGTGCAGTTTAGAAGAGATTAGCAGAAATCTAATGGAAAGTGCTCTGAACTGTGTCAACATCTGGACATTTTTGTTAAGAATGCTACTAAATAATTTAGAAAGTTGGGCCAAATCAGCTACTTGCTTTGTACTTCAATTTTCTTATCTGTGAAATGAGGTGATGGTTAATTCCCACTGTTGAAATTTTAATTACTAAAAAATGTAAGAAACCAATTACGCTATGGTACTACTGGAAGTGTTATTTGCTGGTAAATGACCATATGCTTGAGTTTCATGGGAATGTGAATGTTTTATTGTTGCATACCAGTTTTGTTGTGAAAAGACAAGTTCAAGTATTAACTGGTCTTAAAGTAATTACTTTTGACATTCATGAGAATTAGCTCCTTATTAATATCAAATTGGAGAACAACCTTGAATGAAGATACTTTTTTTAATCTTAAAATTTTATTTTTTATTCAATAAAGGACGTATCTTCAGTAAGATTGATAACACAGAGAACCAAGAAGAAGCGTGTATGTTAACTGAATACTGAAAGAGTTAATGTGATTATACCTCAAATCTGAGTTCTTGAACACCAAGGAAAAGAGGAAACTGTATTACGTAGGTCTGGGTAGTGATAGTAGTAGTACATGGTACAACAGTGGATGTTCAGTAAAGATTTAGGATAATTAAAATTGATTAAGTTTGTCATATAGTTTTAAAATGTGTATAAAGCTTGAATTTCAGCCCACCATCAAATTATAAATCATTAATTGCGTTCTTTTTTTTTTTTTTTTTTTTTGAGACAGCCTCTCACTCTTGCCCAGGCTAGGGTGCAGTGGCATGATCACAGCAACCTCCACCTGCCAGGTTCAAGCCATTGTCTGCCTCACCCTCCGAGTAGCTGGTTTTACAGTCGCCCACCACAATGCCTGGCTAATTTTTTTTTTTATGTTTTTAGTAGAGGTGGCGGTTTTCTCATCTTGGCTAGGCTGGTCTTGAACTCCTGACCTCATGATCCACCCGCCTCAGCCTCCCAAAGTGCTGGGAGTACAGGTGTGAGCTCCTGCGCCCAGCCTGGCATTTGCATTCTACTTACAATGTTGAGTACTTGTTTTATGCAAGTTACTAGAAATAACAGGGAATACGATAGTCAGATTTTACCATTACTGTCTCCAGTGGAGACAATAATTTTAGGGACTTTATTAGATGTAGCTTAGAAATGCTAATATAACCTATCTGCACTTCGGAAGAGTAATGCCTGACGTGTATACTTATTTTTGTTGTTTGTAGTGCTAATCCTCCATCTGGAATTGAAGATGAAACTGCCGAAAATGGTGTACCAAAACCGGTAACATAAGGCTTTGAAATCCAGTTACTTTCCCGATACAGATCTTTATCAATAGCTTCACAGTTTACGTAGAAAACAAGCTGACATTTTACATTACCTTCAGTATCCTATGTTATGTGACCCTTTCTTATATCTCCTACTGCATCTGGTGCTATCAAAAACATATATAGGAATTAGCAAGGAGGAAAAGAAATAGTAGAAAGACGTCAGAGGAAAATAGTATGTGCAAAGGCTTGATGTTTATTGCTTTCAAGGAACTGAATGGTTATACATCTACTGAATATAGTGTGCCTGGTTTTCAGAGCAAGTTTTGAGTCCCACAGCCTTTGAATGTTGTGATTTTTTAGCAGTGCTTTTTAATGTATGTGACAGTCCCTGACTGCATGCCTGCATGCCTTTGATGCTTTGTGAGGTGAACGTATCACTGGTCCTATGAATATTTGTACTTTTTAATCCTATAAAAAGAAGGAAGTTACTGTTCTGCAAGTTTGTAGTTGTGTGCAAAAAGTATTTTGCATATGTCATCTATTTATTTACTATGATGTGATTAAGCACAAAATAGCCTTTAAGAGCCAAAGTAAAATCTTCACAAATGTAGAATTTGCATGTAGGGCCTCTTCTAGGTATACAAAAATACCAAGAATAATTGAGCTTCTACTTAACTATTTGGTACTTCTTATGTTTTGGGTTTTTTAAAATTCTTTAATTGATTTGGTACTTTTTATTTGTGACATTGTGAATCTTAAAATTGTTTTCCTCTTAGATTCTTTTTTTGCCAAGAATTCTCAAATATGTATTTTTTATAATTTTATCTTGTAGATATCTTAGTAAGTTGCTTTAGATCCTTTTTGCAAGAGGGGCAGATATAATAGTAAAAAAAAAAATATGAGGTGTTGTTTACCAAAAGGAGATGATACCAAAAAAGATTTCATTTCTTTATTCATAGTCTTATCCTTTTTATTATGTAGAACATCAAAATTATGAGTTGAAATAGGTGGCAGCATTATAAGCTTGTAACTTTTAAATTATATCTCAAAAAAATACAGAGTGGGGCCGGGTGCAGTGGCTCACACCTGTAATTCCAGCACTTTGGGAGGCCAAGACGAGTGGATCGCCTGAGGTCAGGAGTTCGAGGCCAGCCTGGCCAACATGGTGAAACCCTGTCTCTGCTAAAAATACAAAAATTAGTTGGGCATGGTGGTAGGCATCTGTAATCCTAGTTACTCTAGAAGCTGAGGCAGGAGAATTGCTTGAACCTGGGAGGCGGAGGTTGCAGTGAGCTGAGATCACAACACTGCACTCAAGCCTGGGAGACAAAGTGAGACTCTGTCTCAAGAAAGAAGAAAGAAAGAAACCCAGGGTGGTTACTTTTTTTAGGTATTAGTATTAGATGTTGAAATGGATTATTGAATGTATAATTTGTTTATGTTCATGTAGAAAGTGACTGAGACTGAAGATGATAGTGATAGTGACAGCGATGATGATGAAGATGATGTTCATGTCACTATAGGAGACATTAAAACGGGAGCACCACAGTATGGGTATGTTATTTTTTAGTAAGTAACAATTGTGTAAACGCTATATAGCAAAGAGTGTGCCTATATTAATCTCTCAGTGGTTGATTCCATTGTTTTTACGTTTTTCTATTTTAACATAAAAGAACTCTTGTTAAAGTTTCATCATGAAGATACTTCTTTCCTAAAATAAAGTTAACTGATTAGGCAAAGGTACATGGAAGCAGCAGTTTTTCATCCTGAATTTAAAGTGCTTTCATGAAAGAACTGAGTACTAGGCCAGTCATGGAGGTTCATGCCTGTAACCCCAGGACTTTGGGAGGCTAAGGTGGGTGAATCACCTGAGGTCAGGAGTTCAAGACCAGCCTGACCAGCATGGTGAAACCTCATCTCTACTAAAAATACAAAAATTAGCCAGGCGTGGTGGTGGGTGCCTGTAATCCCAGCTACTCGGAGGCTAAGGCAGGAGAATCACTTGAACCTGGTAGGTGGAGGTTGCAGTGAGCCCAGATCGAGCCACTGCACTCCAGCCTGGATAACAGTGAGACTCTGTCTCAAGGGAAAAAAAAAATACTATAAATTCTTTGTTTAGAATTAGAAATCCTTAAATTGTAATTTGTATCTGTGCTTATTGTTTCGCTTTATTACTTGTCCAGACCTGAGTTTAGGTTTTTAATTTTTTTGTCCAATAAAAACAATATCAAAAGTATTTCTTTTTGTTGTTAATAGTGTTTTCAGGTTTTTAATTCTCCTGTAGGCCTTTTAGGCCAATGTTTGTCTCAAATTTTGTTTTCTATAAACTGGACCAAGTGAATGGACTGTCATTGACGCATTGAACACATAAAGAATCTTACAGAAAGATTGGAAGGGAAATGCATTGAAGTACGAATTGTGATTTAGTTACAATAGGAGAATAAGAGTCAATGTGTTTTGTTTTTCAGATTGGCTGTATAATGTTGTTATAGCTTGTGCATTGGAAACATAAAATACATTAATTTCACTGTAGTTCATTAAGCAACCTCATCTGGAATCAACCAGTATATACAAAACTATTGTTAAACATTTTATTAGTAGGGTCATTTGTTTTCAAAAGTCATTTCAGGAAGCTTAAAGCCAGTTCAGTTATTGTCATAGTCAGTTTTGTATTATAGTAATGATACATGTACCCATGTAATTTTAAAATCCTAGTACCTTTTTAGGGAACAGAGTAAAGAGGCTAGTTTTTCGTGTTAGGGGTGCATATTCTAAATGTGCTCCTCATTCTCATTTGGGAAAGTAAATAATTACTTAATGAGAAAGTTGGGCTTATACGGTAGTACTAGTAGGGCTTTCTGCTAATAATAGGCCTTTACTGTCTGTATTAGGCAAAAGAAACACTTATATAAAATTGTAATAATTGCATGTTCATTAAATATTATATAAAATTATTTGTACTTGCAAGTTACAGAACAATTTGAAGCAAATGACAATTTTTTTGGATTATGAATGGTACCTTTTTTTGGTAGAAATTGCACTCAAATATTAAATATATGTGGACTTTCATAGTACCTTACTAAACTTTATTTCTTACAGCAGTTTTCAGTTTTATGCATTGTAATTATGTTTATACATATTTATTACCTTTAGACACTTTAGATTTCTATAGAGTAGAAACCATTGTATTCAAAACTCTTCAAAAAAACAGGAAACTGATTTATGAATTTTTCTCTTCTTCACATTGCCTTAAATATAGTAAGTGTGCCGTAAATGGTTATTGACTAAATAAACTGAATGTTATTTAGTTACAGTTGTCTCTGAAGGTTTTTTCCCCTTAGACATTTGATTATGAAAATTTTCCAATACTCTCAAAAGTTGAAGGAATTGACCTGTGACTGCTCATTTACCCATCACCTAGATTATACAATATGCATTTTGCTTTGTTTGCTCGAACTCATATCCCTCTATCTATGCCTTTACCCATTTATCAGTTGATTTATTTTTTATTCATTTTATGAATTTCCAAAGTAAAGTACAAGTATTTGTGAAGAGTGTAAAGTTGCTTAACCTCTGTATTTCAGGGTATATCCCTTGAAAACAAAGTCCGTGAGAAAATGAAATTTGATAAACATTTACTTATGCGCAGCGTTTTCAGAAGCAAATTTAAAGAGCAAACTGTGTTAAAGGAATAGTACTGAATTGTTTATTGTAAATTGTTACAGGTTTTTTTTTAGGTAACATACCTTTGTTACAAGTTCGTTTTATATGTGTGTAAGGTATGAAGAAAACCAAGTCTTAAAGTAGGAATAATTTATCTTGGAAAGTAGTTCGTTACCTATATCTGTGAGATTCATCCATTTATATACTCAATAAATACTTTTTAAAGGCATAATTTATTTGGCACTGTGTTAAGTAGCAAAGATAATGTGCCTTTATTAAACCATCTATGATCATTTCATTATTATATTTTTTTTACATTTACCGTGCTACAAAAGAACTCTTGGTAAAATCATCATGAAATTTCCTGGAGTCAACAAATTAGATAGAGTTACATGAAAGCAGCAATTTTTTTATTTGTGAATATATTAATTGATGAGAATACAAGAAGTTATTATTTTCCAGAGGTAGTGAGGAAAACAGACATGTGAGTAAATATTTTCAGTGCAACATAAGTGCTACAATAGAAACATGTACAAAGTGATTAGAAAAGTTTGAGAGTTGCTGAAAGCCTACAGGTGTTGAAGAGAAGATCCCAGAGGTGACATTTGAATTTGAATAATTTTTGAGATGGGAGACAGTGGTTTTTAGGTGGAGGACACTGCTTAAAAATAAATGTAGTAGATGCATGGCTTGGAGGAAGTACATGGCTGGAGGGTAAGGTAGATGAAAAGAGATGGTTGAAATCACTTATGAAAGGAGTTAGGATGCATTTGCTATGTCTTTGTAGACCTTGCAAGGTTGTCCAACCAGCCAACGTTATGTTGTTGTTGTTGTTGTTCTGTTTTGGTTTGTTTTAGGCTTTTAGCTGCCCAAAGCCGTGGTTTTTAGTTTCTGTCTCCAGTGATAAGTGGAAAAGAGGATTGATGAAGGGGCTTTACTGGCCTAACCAGAACAGAAACTGAGGACCTATGACTGTATTCTCTCACTTAGACACCCCGATTAGGTTTTTAGATAGATCATATTATTTGAAAAGGTATTACCTTTAGACACTTTAGATTTCTATAGAGTAGAAACCATTGTAGCATCAGTAGTTGAGATGGGTTAGATGGAGAGACATTGACTAATAGATGTGAAGTAGTTGTCCAGGTGAGATGATAATCTAGATTAAGGCAGCAGTAGTAGAGAGATGAATGGGAAAATAGTATATTTGAATATTTGAGAAACAAATATAGTCAGACATGTGGTATACACCTGTAGTCCCATGGACTTGGGAGGCTGAGGTAGGAGGATCGCTTGAGCCTTGGAGTTTCAGGGCAGCCTGGGCCATATAGTAAGATCTTGTCTCAAAGAATAAAAAGAAAGAAATAACAAATAACATGGATAACTGGTTGGTTGTGGATGGAGGAGGAGATAAAGGGACTTAAAGATTTCTAGAGCAGTTAATTGGGTCCAGGTGGGCGCTACTCCTCCCACCTCCCACAAAATAGATTCATTTGACATGTTTATTTTGAAGTTCCTATAGAAAATCCAAGTATAGGATCTAGCATTTAGAGTGGTCTGAGAGTTCATGGGGATCTATTGGACATTATATCAAATTTGCCTCTGCAAATTTTCATACCACTAAGCTTCTCTACGCAGAATGAATACAAAGGCTTGTGGCTTGAAAAAGAGAAATGATGTTTTAAAAGGCAGAATGGGGAATAGAAAGTAGCTAGATGGAAAGCAAAGAAGCTCATCTATTGAAGACTTAGGGCTAAGCCTTTTATAAAAATGCCATTTTATTCTATAGCAGTCCTGTAAGAGAACAGTTTAGAGAAAATCCTTTTCTCTAGTCTTTTTTCATATGTAGATAGCACTAAGTCACTTTTGCTGAATTTGGATTGTTAAAATGTAAACATCGTGAAGGCAGGGACCAAATTTGTCCAGCTCCTCATACTTTTTCCTTAGCCTAGAATCATACCTGACATGGTTTTGGTGCTCAGTAAGCATTACATGAATTAATCAGTCTATAAAGTGATTATTTCAAGTTGGTGACGATAGTACTGCTTGACAGTAATATTTGGTCCACTTTGTAATTCTTACATTTCTAGCTGTGAAGCTACAATTACTTGATACAATTACTTAAAACATTTTATTGCATTTACATTTTTCCTTTTTAAGTGGAAAAGAAAAATGACAGTGCAAATGTAACTCAACCTGAGTCTTACATTTAGTACATTAGAGACAAAAGATGGAAGTAATTATTATTAGACCCAAAGCAGTGAATCTAAAGTCCAGATGGCTGAACTTCTGAGAGAAAAGAACCAAATATGTCACATGAATATAAAGTGAGAAATATATCATTGAAAATACCTATGACTTGAGGTCTTACTGGTATCTTTTTTTTTTTTTTTTTTGAGACGGAGTCTCGCTCTGTGGCCCAGGCTGGAGTGCAGTGGCGTGATCTCGGCTCACTGCAAGCTCTGCCTCCCGAGTTCATGCCATTCTCCTGCCTCAGCCTCCTGAGTAGCTGGGACTACAGGTGCCCGCCACCACACCTGGCTAATTTTTTCTATTTTTTAGTAGAGAGGAAGTTTCACCGTATTAGCCAGGATGGTCTCGATCTCCTGACCTCGTGATTTGCCCGTCTCAGCCTCCCAAAGTGCTGGGATTACAGGTGTGAGCCATCGCCTGCTGTCTTACTGATATCTTTTTGTTCAGTGGGAGTTGGTCCTTCTTTGCCCATTCCTGTTTTCTTCTAATTTCCCTAGTAACAGAAAAGTCTATTTTAATTAGTATATTTGATAATACTACGCATATATAAGAATCCATTATATAAAAAAAGTAAAGAACTATCTGTAACCCCTTACAGAAAATTTATATGAGGCTCATTTATACAAGTATAAATGCAATGAAATATTCAAATAATTATATACGAGTCTTAGATGTCTTGGCCAAGATTACACTAACAACTGACAAAACATTTGAATGTGGATTGGTCCAACTTCAGAAATTTTTTTCTTTATCACTGTGTATTATATTACATCTAAAAAGGTGCAGCTTAATACTTTTTTCAAATATATGCATTCATGTAACTACAACCAGATCAAGATACGAAACATGATTGGCATCCTAGAAGTTTCTCTCATTTTTCCTCTTGGTCATTAACCACCCACCACCGGTAAACACTGTTCTGCTTTCATGCTAGACTTATTTTTGAATTTCATGACAATAAATTTCTATTATAGACTCCATGAATGGTTGAAAAAGGAGTTATTAACAATATCAACTGCGGGAAGAACTGAAAGGCCACTGGATTTAACAACAAGTTGGAGGAATTTTACTTATGCTTAAGATTGCTGTATGTGGCCGGGCGCGGTGGCTCAAGCCTGTAATCCCAGCACTTTGGGAGGCCGAGACGGGCGGATCACGAGGTCAGGAGATCGAGACCATCCTGGCTAACACCGTGAAACCCCGTCTCTACTAAAAATACAAAAAACTAGCCGGGCGAGGTGGCGGGCGCCTGTAGTCCCAGCTACTCCAGAGGCTGAGGCAGGAGAATGGCGTAAACCCGGGAGGCGGAGCTTGCAGTGAGCTGAGATCCGGCCACTGCACTCCAGTCCGGGCTACAGAGCAAGACTCCGTCTCAAAAAAAAAAAAAAAAAAAAGATTGCTGTATGTGTAATAACTGGCAGGCAAGGAAATGAAGAAAAGGGGTATAAACTATGTTTCCCTTCTTAGCCTTATTTCTTGTGAAGTTTGTTGCAGTAGAATGTTGAGTTAGTGGCAAAGAGATTTTTGAAATGGAAACAAGTCAGTTATTTTTTTTTTTTTTAATGTTTTTGCCTTTTATTGAGCAAGTGACTTTAGAAACTAGTTTAAAATGTTTTTTTAAATGTGTGTTAGCTGGGCACGGTGGCTCACTCTTGTAATCTCAGCATTTTGGGAAGCCAAGGCGGGAGGATTGCTTGAGCTCAGGAGGTCGAGACCAGCCTGGACGACATGCTGTGAGATCTCATCTCATCTATCCAAAATTTAAAAAATAAAAACAAATTATAAAAAATAGAAAAATAAAAATAGAAATATTACTGCTTTGTTTAAGCTTTTCAGGATAATTTTTGGTTTTTTGTTTGTTTTTAGGAGTTATGGTACAGCACCTGTAAATCTTAACATCAAGACAGGAGGAAGAGTTTATGGAACTACAGGTAAAGTTTGTATTTTCTGTTGCATCAGTAGGGAAATAAGGCACATATCTTAAATAGGTCTTAATCACTTTTTTTTAGTGGGAGACAGAGTCTGACTTTGTCACCCAGACTGGAGTACAGTGGCGCAATCTTAGTTCACTGCACCCTCCATCTTCCAGGCTCAAACCAACCTCCCACTTCACCTTCTCAAATAGCTGGGACTGTGGGCGTGCGACCAGGTCTCGCCATGTTGTTCAGGCTGTTTTAGAACTTTTGAGCTTAAGTGATCTGCCTGCCTTGGCCTCCCAGACTGTTGGGATTCCAAGTGTGCACTGCTGCGCCTGGCCAAGGTGATAATATAATAGCTCTTTTTAAAGGTAATTTTTGACCATACATCACAGGGACTGGTAAATTTTTTCTGTAAATAGTCCAGTAGCACGTATTTTAGGCTCTGCTTTGTTTGGAATGCTTGCCAGGTTTTTTGCCAGGGATAGTAAAAAAATGTTTGTTTTCTGTTTGTGTGTGTATGTGTGCCAGGAATAGTAAAAAGGTGTTTATATTTTCTGTTTGTGTATGGTATGTCCCAGCTTCTTGCAAGTGTAGCTCCTTCATTTTGTAATTTTATAAAACAGGAACAAAAGTCAAAGGAGTAGACCTTGATGCACCTGGAAGCATTAATGGAGTTCCACTCTTAGAGGTAGATTTGGATTCTTTTGAAGATAAACCATGGCGTAAACCTGGTAAGACTGTTGTGGATTATATTAATTTCAATATTTTTAGTGTAAAGTCATCAGAAAATTTTTTGAGCATCAATTTAAAATTTTATTTTTTCATTATAATTTTAATTGTCTTAAGCAAATGATGAGTAATAGTGACTTGGATTATTAAATCTTACTGGTGGCCTCATATTACTTAAAATGTAGACTTACTGTTTATTACAATGACATTTCTAAAGAAATAATTTGATCAAAAATTTTATAGTCTTTTTGCCACCGTAAATGATAGAGTGATAACTGATAGAACTCTAAATTTGTATTTTTATAGTTTAGTATATTTTTGATGCTGCTTAAAAATAGAGCTGAAATATTTGTACACTAAAGATGTGTTTTATCTTTAGGTGCTGATCTTTCTGATTATTTTAATTATGGGTTTAATGAAGATACCTGGAAAGCTTACTGTGAAAAACAAAAGAGGATACGAATGGGACTTGAAGTTATACCAGTAACTTCTACTACAAATAAAATTACGGTAATTAATAAATACTCCGGAATACCCTTGGCTTGTCTACCGTCCCATTTTTACTCCCCAAATAAATCACTTCCCTATAAAAGTGGTTAAATGATATACGATAGATTAAAAATTCCATTTTGTTTACCATGTTTGTTTTTCCCTTCCCTCCCTTTTAGAGTTTTGTATTAATGATTATCTGATGTTCTTACTTTCAAATCACAGACTAGCCACAGCTAGTTTGTCTTTATATGGCCTATTAATTAAATATTATGTGGTATCTTAATGGGGAATATGTTATTTAACTTAGGCCGAAGACTGTACTATGGAAGTTACACCAGGTGCAGAGATCCAAGATGGCAGATTCAATCTTTTTAAGGTGAATTTTAGTAAATTATCCTTGGTTGCTCTCATTTTTTGTTCTTGAGTCTGCTCCCATACCACTACTCAAGGGACAAGATTAAAGTGGAAATAGCTACCTTTTTTCCAAACCTTCAGCTTCCTGGTGACTTACAAATTTGCTGATTGTTGTTTTATCTCCACTTTTGCAAGCATGTGAATTTATAGCCTATTATACTAACAAATGCCAAGTAAAACTGTTCTTTGCTATATGTTGTGATTTCATTTTGAGTTGTAATACATGTTTGTAGGATAGAAAAGTTAGTGGCAACAGATTAAGCTCTCATTGTAGATAATATTCTAATCTTTATCAACAGAATTGGAGACTTTTTTGTTTTCTTTAAAAAAAAAATGGTAAGGAAGTGGCATACTGTTTATCTGTATGATACTGGTAACACTGATATCATTGGTGTAATGCCCCGATAACTCAAGATAACTTCAAAAATCTTAGACATTCTCTGAGAGGCTTTAAGAACTCAACAGAATGAGATAAAGCCATTGATTTTAAAAATTGGTACTTGAAAGGAGTAGGTTTATGTGAGAGACTTTGAGGTTGATACTACAACTTGTGTATCAAGTCTGGTTTCTGGCTTCTCCATTGCATGGTATGATCACAGACCTAGTCCAAAGAATAATACTATATTGTCATAGTTCTTTTATGGAAAACTGGTTGTGTACTCTTTTTTCTTTACCTTGATGGTTGATTCTTGTATTGAATGACACTGAGATGAAGATTGGGAGTGGCTTTTAGATTGGGTTATATACTCAGGGAACTTTAGTGGACTGGAAAGAAACCTCTACTCCCCTTTTGGGTTTGCAGCCCTGTCCACCAGAATACTGCCTTATGCAGTGTGTGTGCTGTGTCTGCAGATAAACCACTCTACTGTACACAGTTCTATATAGATAATTTTATTTTTAATTTACATTCTACTTTGCATATTTGGTTCTTTTGCAAATATTTTGAAAGTGTGTGGTGATGTCTGTTGTATTTTAAAGGGTCATCAGGTTTTTTGGGTTATATTGTCTATAATGACATTGAATATATTAAACTTAACTACAATGGGTAAAAAAGTTGTCTTAATGAACTAGTTCATTAGCAGCAGTGCATTTTATTTTATTTTTTAATAGAAACGAGAACTGCCATCATAAACTGTTAGTTTCTGTATACTTTATTTTTTGTAGTAGACTTTTAAAAAGAGAATAAAAAGAAACTCCTAGGGGTCAGTCTCATTGAAGGTAGCCATTATGAATGTGTGTTTTTTATACATACTGTGTACTGAAAAACTTATTTTGAAGTTTCTTTTGGTTATGTGAGAGGAGGTCAGAGTGTTCCATTCTGATTGGATTCTGAATGAAAGATTTGAATTTGATGGGTACAGTCTTCATGGTTTTCTTGCCTTGATAGTGTGTTTAAATACTAATATGTTTGGTAGAAATACTGATTTGGGAAGAGGGTGTGTATTAAGACTATATGTGGCAAACATTTTTTCTTTATGTATATTGTGGTCTGTAAGAAATGTTGGAAATAGGGCCATAATGAGCAGGACATTGATTTTAAACTAGCCTGCAAACATTTGTGTGGCCAATAGGAAGCTGTTTGAAAGTTCCTGAGCAGTAGAATGAAGTGCAGATCTGGTTTTTAGAAAAGGAACTGGCAGCAGGATGGGCTGTAGAATGAAAGGGATATGAAATAGATAGGATTATGTTGCCATACTATAGGAATGAAATGAACTAGGGCCTGAACTCACTCACGAGGGTGAATGGGCAAAGGAGTGGATTTAAGAATTAAAATTTATTTTCATACCTACTGCAAATAGAATTTTTTCATCCTTACGTGTGAGACAACCCATCAGCCTCTTTAAGATAACTTTATTTACTTTTCATTAAATAATTTTCAAACCCAGTAACAAGTAGAATAGTACACATGAACCCTTAGCTGCTTATGCAGCTTCAACACTTAACGGTGTTTTGACATTCTTGAGGTAACAGCCTTTTATATACTTAAATATGATTAAAGTTTTACTAAAAAGCAAAATAAAGGAAAAAATTTAACAGGTGTAAAAATAAAGCTACTCATTTGGGTGCAAAAACAATTGTGTAATTATTTAATTAGAGTGAGGGGCAAGAGAGAAGTGACTAGTGGAAATAGATAATATGTATGCATGAGAAAACACTGACTACAACGTTTTCTTAAAATATTTTTTATTCATTTGTGCACGCATACATAGCTCTTTCCCCCCCGCCCCCAACTGTGAATCTATGAGCTTTGTCACCAGTTTTCTGAAATTTTACATTTACGTGTCTTGGTCTGTTTTCATCCATTGTACCAAACACTCAGTTACACCTTCTCGATTTGGAAGCACTTATGCTTCACTTGTGGAACACTTTCTCTTTTACTTTTTTCTCTGCTTTCTGTTCTATTCTAGATAAATATTGGATATCTTCGAATGGTCTTCTAAATTTTTTTTATTGTTTTTCTCTTTTTCGTCTTTTCCATTATCTGGGAGAAATTTTTATTCTTAAAATGTTTCCACTTAGTTTTGATTTCTGCTGTTAATTTCCAAGAAAAGTTTTCTTTATTATTTAGTTGTGGCATCTTATTGTTCATGCCTACAGTAATGCAATATCTTTTTCCCCCCTCTTTCAAAGGATATTAATGATAGGCTGTTTTGTTTCTGTTAGATTTTCTTTTCCTGCATAGTCTGTTTTCTTTTTTTTTTATTTTTATTTTTTATTATTATTATACTTTAAGTTCTAGGGTACATCTGCATAACGTGCAGGTTTGTTACATATGTATACTTGTGCCATGTTGCTGTGCTGCACCCATCAACTCGTCACCACCCATCAACTCATCATTTACATCAGGTATAACTCCCAATGCAATCCCTCCCTCCACCCCCCTCCCCATGATAGGCCCCGGTGTGTGATGTTCCCCTTCCCGAGTCCAAGTGATCTCATTGTTCAGTTCCCACCTACGAGTGAGAACATGCGGTGTTTGGTTTTCTGTTCTTGTGATAGTTTGCTAAGAATGATGGTTTCCAGCTGCATCCCTGTCCCTACAAAGGACACAAACTCATCCTTTTTTATGGCTGCATAGTATTCCATGGTGTATATGTGCCACATTTTCTTAATCCAGTCTGTCACTGATGGACATTTGGGTTGATTCCAAGTCTTTGCTATTGTGAATAGTGCC